ATGGGGTAGCTAAGAGTCGGACACAACTGAGTGACTTCACTTTCATTTTTCACTTTCATGCATTGGAGAAGGAAATGGCAACCCACTCCAGTATTCTTGCCTGGAGAATCCCAGGGATGGGGGAGCCTGGTGGGCTGCTGTCTATGCGGTCGCACAGAGTCGGACACGACTGAAGTGACTTAGCAGCAGCTGCAGCAGTAAGTCAGTACTATTATTTTGTTTTCAAATTATTTCCTTCCTAAAAACTTATATTCAATTATTTCAACTTTGTATAATTAAGAAACTTAACTGAGTTTAAGCTTATTTACAGTAACCAAGCTCCTTTCTTCTTGTTGATCTTGGATTTCAATGAGATCCCACCCAGGTCTGCTCTACCTAGTTCATGGTAATTTTCTTGGATGGAGAGGATGGAGACCTAGAAATTTGTGTAGATTTATGGCCTCTTCCCCTAACGGTCTACTTCATTTGCATTCTTCTCCTCACTTATCTTGATCATTTTTCCAAGCATCAGAACTTAAGCCTTCTCTAGCACACACTAATGTCTTGTGCCCTTTTGACATCTGCTTTGTATTATGGGTTTTTTTTTCCATCTTCTACCCAGTTTTCCCTTGTAACGGTACCTTCACATGCCCTTAAAAGCAGAGCTTTTTTTTTGTTCAGTTGTAATCCTGCCTTTTCAGATTTCCTTGTATTCAAAACAAAGCCTATCTTGCCAAAAGGTCATGCAGCTACAACCTTGTGATAAGTAATGTATCTTGTTCCCAAAAGCTACTCTTTGGCATCTGGTAGAAATGCTGATTATTTATACCCACAGAAATTACAATGCCTGTGGATGATCTGATGCATCTCCCCCAAGTTATGGATGTGAATCCCACTAAGGGGCTTTGTTTGGACTCCATGTGAAGAAGATACCTTCACAGAGAGAAAAGCACAAGGCATGCCTCTATGACATTTTGACTTCTAAGTTTTAGCAGTTTTTTAAAAAAATAATGATGAAATAAAGAACCAGCTTTGAGACTATGCAGCCAAAAAAGTCAGGGAAAAAAAAGTATGAGAGGTATACCATGAGGTTAATCAATAAAAATATAATTTTCCTGTACATTTGTGGAATGTCAATTTTATAAAATTTGGGAATTTTCATTTTAAATAAATGTTCACTTTCAAGTCTAAAAAAAAGAACCATCTTTGACTGACCATGTTAAAACTAATTTCAGTGTATTCTAAAACTGTGCTTTAAAAAATTTCCCATTTTTGACCCGTGTAAGAAATACAGGTACTTTAAGAAAATGTTTCTGAAAGACTGCATCTGAAGCAGTTTATGAGCTGAAGCCAAGGCTAAAGCACTGCTCAGGGAATCTGTTTCCCTGGGATACTAATTAACTCCAAATATTGCATATGAATTAAGCCAGCAGCTACTGAAAGAAGCAACTAACAGAAGAGGAAAAAGAAGAGATTTAGAAGGAAAGTACTGTCTTCTGATTAAAGAAAGACATCAGGGGCACAGGAGGAACCGTCTCCCTCCATCTCAGCATTCTACTCTTTAACAGCGGTTCCCAACCTTTTTGGCACCAGGGACGGGTTTCGTGGAAGACAATTTTTCCACGGAGGGGGATAGGAGATAGTTTGGGGATGATTCAAGCTCATTACACTTATTGTGCACTTTATTTCTATCATTATTATATCAGCTCCTCTTCAGATCATCAGGCATTAGATGCTGGAGGTTGGGGACCCCGCTCTAGAAGCTTCCACCCTTTTCTTCTTGCCTCCCATTTTCCCTGCTGCCATAGGGCAGGTGTGATTGATGGATAGCTGATTAGGGCAGAGTCTCTCCCTGGGGGGGCTGCTCTCCCTGTCCCTTTAATAAGGAAGCTGTTCTCTGCCTAGAGGTTTTAGCTGTCCTCACACTTGCCCAGACAGGAGAATCCCAAACTCCTCCCCTGGAGATTCTGATTCAGTGGGTCTGAGAAGGGGCTTTGGAATTTATATGTTTAATAAGTATTCCAGGTGATTCTTAGGAGCCAGAGAATTTGGGAAACCCTGCCTATTCCTCAGAATAAGACACAGTCCCTGGCCCCACAGCAGGACACCTATAGTTCTGACCGGGTCAGTTCAGTTCAGAGGGGAAGGTGTTAGCAATTGAAACTGCATCTGTCACTACCCTCCAACTTGAGACAGCATTATGTGTTTAGTTGTTAAATGTTTTAAGCTTAGTTTTTTGAATAAAGAGTTCATGTTTTATTTTTAACATGCAAATATAAGCATACAAAAACCCATCAGTGCCTGGTTGACTACTTTCAACCTGAACTACAGCATAACCATTGGCGGGCACCTTCACTGGGGCAGCAACCCTAATCGCAGGTTTTGTTTAGAACATGATAACCTTCTCCATTCCTCTGAATAATCCAAACCAACCACTGAAAACCACTGTTCCACAGCCACAGGCAGCAAGGAAAACACACAAGTTGAGCGATCCATAGAACCTTCCACTCAACCCAGGTGTTTAAATGGCTTTGTGCAAACCACTGGGATCTAAGTAATCTTTCTCTTTAAACAGTCACCTGCCCCCGTAAGAACTGCAGAGACATTACTGTTTAGGCCTAAAGGCACAAACAAGTCACCATAGCCCTCTGGAAAAGTGAACATATGTCTGTCATTGGTGACTTTATTATACTACAGTTTGAAGGTTCAACCTATTTACCGTGCTCTAGTAAAACTACAGACTAAGAGTAGCCCGAGGCACAAGTGGCCATCAGTGTCACCCACCTGATACTGCATAGACAGGCCTATTGTGTTTTCTCTACAAACAGCTTGACAAGAACACAAAGGCAGTAATGATACATTGTGCTCACCTCCTCCTGACCTTAGGAACACTTACAGCAAGAGGCTGCCCTCAGAAGGGGCAAAGGTACCCTCTGCAGTATCAGGATGTCTCTACTCATGAAATTACAAATTCCTGCAGTGTCATGGTTCTGAGCTCTATTTTTAAAACCTGACCCTGAGCATGTGTGTCTATTCTAACATTTATTTGATGGTACAGAGCTTTTAAATTTTCTTGACCAAGTTAGCCCATTTGCTTATATTTCTTGGCAAAAAGAATCATTTAAAGAAATCATTCCTGTAAGCCAGCTATCTTTCAAGAATGAATTCAAGAAAGGTTTCTCTATGAGTTACCTACACGTGATACTTAAATTTATGTGATTATAAGGAAAACAGCTGATGTGGGAGAGAAAAAGAATTCGAGTGCATATCACAGAAATTAGTAAGACATCGTTCATTTAACAAAGACAGAAACTTGTGTTACATGTTCCTGGGTCAAGAAGCTATTTCCTTAGAATCTTGGTTTTGAAGGACTCTGCAATGTTGTTGGTTCCTCTAAAGTATGTGGAAAGGGCACTGAGCTGAAGATAGGGGTGCATCGTGTAGGGTCCAAGTGGGTTCTAGTCCTGATTCTTCCTGGGTATAATTTTGCATAACTGTTTCACTTCTCTGCTTCAGTTCTGTCTTCAGTCAAATGGGAGAAGAAAAACATATATAGCTTTGAGGAATAACTGTGCAGCTTTCCTTGAAAACAGCAAAGCAGGCCCCATTAAATTTGAACAAGTTCTCCATACTGTAAAGCATCATGGACAGTGTTATTAGTAATCTTTATTCTTCCACACTAATGAGCCAAGTCTTCACCCAAAACTCCCCTTCCTGGACCTTCCTGGTGGTCACTGATTAGGACTTTGTACTTGTACTGCAAGGGACATAGGTTAAATCCCTGGTTGAGGAAGTTCCAAATGCCATGTGATGAAGCCAAAAAAATACCCCCAAAACCTGCACTTCCTAAAAGTCCCAAATACCCGGATTCAAAAGGTAGAGAAAAGGAATTGCATTCCACAGGAAATGAGACATGATCTAGTACAGTCCAGCATCTCCACAGTGAGACACCTTGAGAGAGGCTGGTTTTTCATAAGCTCTGTCTTGTGCCGAGACTCTTAGCTTCTGAGCCTGCTCCTACCAGAGAATGCAATTTTCTAATAAAGCCAAACAAGAACCAATGGTGGTCCAATCATACATGGACTAAGACTGCAGATATAGAAAAGCAGTGCTCTGAATAATTCAGAATGGTGGCCACACAAGCACAGAGCCAAAGAGCAGAACCAAACGCTTTGGGAGCTTACCTACCCTTCTTTTCCTCTTGATTTCTTCCTCATTTCTTCTTGACGAAGTCAGTGATATACTAAAAGGATATCTCTTAATGATAAACATGGAAGAATCTATGGATACATCTGTTGGACTCAATTATACTATTTAAGAAAGCAAGCTTACATGAAGACCGAGAGTCAATTTAATGCATTACTTCTAGCGCATTTTTTTCTTTGCCAAGAATGAGAATAAAAAAGAAGGGGGAAAATAATAAAACCAGGAGACTCAAGTACATAATATAAGGTACGTACAAATCTACATATATCCTAATGCGCTGAGAGATCTTCTTGACGAAAAAGATTTCATTCCGAGTTGCTGCTAGTTTCGATGCAAATGTAGTGTGTGCCGTGGGCCACAAGCCAAGGGTTCAAGTAGGTTGAGCAGTCATCACAGGTTCTTCTTTGTTAAGATTTCTATTTCAAAGTCAAGTGTGCCTTGGCAGCACTGTTACACTTTAGCACAGGTAATCCAAACCAAGGGAAAGACACTGTGGAAAAATACAAAACATTTACTCTATCTAACCTAGCAACTCCTACTGAACAACATGTATGCTGCATATTTGCGAGTTGTAGCCCATTGCTGTGGAAAATTCACTACAGGATAAAAACAAATACTGTGCATCACAGTTCACATACAGCATGCCTTTTCTGCTCAGTACAAGAAAAATCTACTACCCGGCAGACAGTGAGATCAATGGCCTGACAGCCCCAATGTGGCAGAATGCTGTTCTCTTTTGTTTTTTTGTTTTTTTTGGCCCTCAAATAAAAAATAATAACATCACGTTGACTCTCCCAATTAAACTCCAGTTCAGTTCAAAATTCATCTTCGGAACTGTCGGCTAAGAGCATGACTCGATCTTGCATGCTGTTGAATTCTCTCTGCTGGGGAAAGAAAACAGAAAAGCATTAAACTCCTGCTTCAGAGCAAAGCCGAGAAACAGGTCCCCTTTAAGAGACACGTGAACAAATGAAGCCGAGGCTGCAGCTGCAGCAGCTCATCAGAACCACTGGGCACGTCAGTACCATTCATGCATCATTAAGCCCCAAGTGCTTTATTAAGCAAATTAGAAAAGCGAAGAACAGTTGGGAAAGTGACTAGGTTTTGCCGTTGTGGATTCCATACCTTTCTTTTATGCCTTTTGAAGCCGTTTCTCCTTCGGCGATTCATAACCTTAATGCTGTAGAGTGCTCCCAAGATGAACAAGGCTCCAGCTATCCCAACCCCCACGGGCACCAACATCCCAGACATATAGCCTGCCTGCATGGGAAAGGAAACATGCATTAGGATGCTAAACAGACCACTGCCCTGGGTTTCCCAGTTCTGCTGGAGGGCAGCTGGGTTTTTAGACACTTTGAATTCTCTTGTCAGCTTTGTTACAAAGTAGCACCTGGAATAAAGTTACTTTTAGGGAGAAGGCAACAGAGAGAGAGGTATGACTATTTTTGGATATTTCATATACATATAAGTACTACAATAAATCAGCCAGACCTGCGGCACCTCCGGTTGGTCACTTGGTTATGCACATTTGTCAACATCAGGTTTTGGTGACGGAAATTTAATTTGTATTAAAGATGGATGAAGTAGCCTCTGAAATTGCCAGGACTATTAAAATGCTATAAATTGGAAATAGCAGCCTGAGTCTAGCTCTGGGGGGGGAGGGGGGGTGGGGTAGCGGTGGGCACGGTGGGGGGGCATTGCTCAGTGGAATATATTGTGTTTCTTGGGGGACGAAAGGGGGCCTTGACTTTGGTGGTTCCCCTCTTACAATCTTAGCTGCATCACGGTAGGAAAGGAAAGAGGAATGTGCTTCTACATGAGTGAAAAGAGAGAGCTTCTAGAGACAGCAGGGAGGAAAAGGCCCTACAGAGGAAAGAAGGATGTTAGGTTTTGGAGGCCAGGCAGAAAAGACAAGGATGAGAGATTGTTGCACATAATGTAGATGGAAGATGGTTCATTTATACAGAGGAAAAAACCTGCCCAGTGAACAAGACCAAAGTTGAGGGCTGGCAGGGAATTCTGAGTGTCCCAGGCTCCAAAGAAAGAAAGTGACAACGGACACAAAGGTCACTGCCAACAGTGCTGGTACTTTCAAAAGAGCTTGGAGATTTCAAACCCATGGCGGTCTCCAACAACTCCAAGGTTTTATTATGGATACTTTGGTTCTAAGAGACCAGCATGATCTCAACACATCCCTGGACTTGAGAAAGTAGTGTAGAATCAACCCAAATTCAGGGCAAGGCCATCACCCTAAGGAAGGGCCATTTCTGCATCCTGGCCAGTAAGACACCTGAGAGATACAGGTGTGTGAAAAACCACAGCCCTTCATAGAGAAACATGACACTGGTTTATCTTCCATGATGACCCCTTCTAGAAGCCTACCCAGGAAAAAAAAACATAATTAACAATTTAAAAAATACTATAGTGAGTACTTTAGACAGACATTATTTTACAGGAGAAAAACTATGAGCTTGTTCACTTATGTAACTATTTCTAAAACTTTCAATATAGCACAGGATCTCTCAAATGAGCCCAAAACAGAAGAACAAAAAATAAAAGTTTTCTAAAAAATGCTGAAGTAAGCGGGCTCCAATGCTTTCCCAACATTTCTAGAAGTAAATCAAAGGAACAGACAAGACCTTACAAAACTGCAGCGTCCTCTTGTACACAGTGAGCTCATTTACTCATTCTGTTTTCCAGAGTCTTGAGTTACAGCACAATATGGCATTTTTTTCATTAATTTGAGAACATAGCATTGTTCCTCAGCATACTGTTTTTCCCCAAGAAACAAAGCCCAGTCATTTTCCAACAAATTATATGCTTTGCCAAAACCCAAACTTTTTCTAAAGTTCTTCTAGATCTACATAAGGTTTACAGAAGTATGTAGTTTTCCATGTGGGAAAACACTGGACAATAGCAAAATCTGGGTGTTCTCACCAGAACTATGAGTTTCATTTTACATCACCATTCCCAGTACATGGAAATACACATATATGTTGATATATGATCAATTTTAAGCCCAGTAGATTAGAGCTTACTAATACAAAGCTCTACATTCAAAGGATGATATCTGAGCTTTTTGGAAGCTCAACTTGGATCAACCAGTGGGTCTCTTAACATTATGTAACTCAACCGCACACCAAAAACATGAATATTACAAAATGTGTCACTCTTTGCATATTTCTTATTTACACATTAAGGCTTCTCATTTCTAGAGCTTTAAATCATGTAGATTTTACAAAAATTCAATTAATCTCTTTCTCCTCTTTTCATTCCCTCCTCTGTGTGTGTGTGTGTGATCTTGAATTAAGTGAATTACTTGAAATAAGTAATTTACAAGAAGGGAATAAAGAAACCTACCCTCCTCAAGTGTAATTTAACCATTCCTCATTCAAAACTAAGTGAAGATAAGCTCTTTTTTTAGAATTGCCACGACTTGTTTCCTGCAGAAATGAAAACAAATAAGATGCATCTGCATATAAAGCTATAAATTGTGCCCAGCACCTTTTCTCTGTTCAGAAATACTGGATGTGCCCATTCCTTCACACTACCTCCCTGAAAAGGACACAACTGAATCCATGCATATTCCAACTGAGAATACTGAATCTAATCATGAGGAAACAACCAATAAACTTCAACTGAACATTCTGTTTTCTAAAGTACCATATTCTTTAAAAATATCAGCATCAGGAAAGGTAACAGATGGCTATACAAATGGTCCACATTAAAGAAAACTGTCAAATCAGTCAACCCTAAAGGAAATCAACCCTGAATATTCATTGGAAGGACTGATGCTGAAGCTGAAGCTCCAATACTTTGACCATCTGATGCAAAGAACTGACTTGTTAGAAAAGATCCTGATGCTGGGAAAGATTGAAGGCAGGAGAAGTTGACAACAGAGGATGAGATGGTTGGATGGCATCACCGACTCGACGGACATGAGTTTGAGCAAGCTCCGGGAGCTGGTGTTGGACAGGGAAGCCTGGCGTGCTGCAGTCCATGGGGTCGCAAAAAGTTGGATACGACTGAGTGACTGAACTAAAATGAAGCATCCTGACAACTACATGTGTTCTATGACCTAGATAAGATCCTGTACTCGAGGAGAAGAATGATTTTATGAAGGTCATTTTGGGTCTGTTAACTGAGACTCAAGTCCGGATGCCAGAACAGATAAAAAGTGTGATATCAATGTTAAATGTACTCAAGTTAATAACTATACTATGGTTTGCTAATAGGATATTCTTAATCATGGGAAATACGCCCTGAAGCATTGAGATTTGGTGTAAAAGGACCATGATGTATGCAACTTCCCCTCAAATGGCTCAGAACAAAAGAGCAGAGATGGGGAGACAGCCAATAAATGAGAAAACAATGGGGCAGCACAGCAAGAACAAGTGCATCTGGATAAAAAGAACAGGGGCATTCTCTGTACTATTCTTATTCTTGTATCTTTTCTGTACATTTGAAATTATTTCCAAAAAAACAGTTTGAAAATTAAAAAATGGATTATAAGATAAAACTGACTACATATAGTTGGGTTTTTTTTATTTATTTGTTTGGTTTTTGGTTTGTTTTGTATTTATGAGAAAGCCATCCTTTCTTAGGCTAACATTTTTGTTCAGAAACATTGGTTTTCAAGAAAACATAAGAAAAAGTAAAACTTTACCGCCTAAAGTCTGCTGAATGCATAAGTGTCTTTATGAGGTTTGTTTAACAGTGTTTCTCTAACTTGAGCATGCATCAGAAATCACCTGCAAGACTTGTTAAAACGCAGATTGCTTGACCCCTTTCCCAGAGTTTCTGATTCAGTAGGTCTAGTTAGGGACCTGGGATTTTGCATTTCTAACAAGCTCTCGGGGGACACAATGCCACTGGTCTGGACTGTACATGAGAATCGCTGCTGTGAAGTGTGTGCGTGTGCGTGTGTGTGCGCGCGCTCAGTTGCTTAGTTATGTCCGACTCTTTGTGCCTCAATGGATAGTAGTCCACCAGGCTCCTGTGTCCATGGAATTTTCCAGGCAAGAATACTGGAGTGGGTTGTCATTTTCTTCTTCTCCTTCTTAAGAGGGGAGGGATGTTATAGCCTCCCTTTTGCCTCCTTCCTTCTGACTAGACTATGGACCTAACTGCAATCCAGGACCACGAGACGACCGTGAGAATAAAGGTCACACAGGATGGAGCAGCAAATAAAAGGAGCCTGCACCTTCACAGTGCTGTTCCTCACTGACCCTGACTGCTCCCTCCAGACTCATAAACGAGGGAAAAACAAACGTCTCTCTTGGTTAAGCCATCGCCATCGGAGATTGGCTGTCACTCAGATCCGGTGGACAGAGGAGCCTGGTAGGCTACAGTCCATGGGGTCGCAAAGAGTCAGACACGACGGAGTGACTTCACTTTAATATAGGAAGACTAAACAATAACAAAAGGAATAATTCAGAACTTTTCAGAACACCTACCACCCCTTCTAAAGTCCAGCTAACAGGGAAACCGATATCAGGAAAAATTAAATGAAGCAAAACTGAATAGATATTATTGGTTGACTGAAGAGCTAGTTAAATATATAGTTTAGTTTTCAATTCTCCAGGATTCTGTGACTTTCACCAAAACAGCAATAGTTTCACTCTCAAATTGTTTCTGAAGGTAATGACTAACAAGACTTTTATAGATGGTAGCTAGTTAGCTAGCTAGACAGACAGAAGAAGAGAAAGAGGGAGAGAGAGAAGAGAGAGAGGAAGATAAGTATATGTGTGTTAGTTGCTCAGTCATGTTTGACTCTTTGCGACCCCGCTGACTGTAGCCCACCAGGCTCCTCTGTTCATGGAATTCCCCAGGCAAGAATACTGGAGTGGGTGGCCATGTCCTTCTCCAGGGGATCTTCTCAACCCAGGGATTGAACCCAGGTTTCCTGCATTGTAGACAGATTCTTTACTGTCTGAGCCACAGGGCAGCCCAAGATACGTGTATGTGTGTGTGTGTGTGTGTGTATACACATATGTGTGTGTGTACACATATGCATGTATGTATCAAGTAAGGGTATAATATTTTACTCCCAGAGGGAGGGAACTGGCTAAACTGAATCCCTCCAAGAAAGAGACAAAATAAGAAGACAAATACAACAACGCTGATGGACCTAGAGATTATCATATTAAGTGACATAAAAAAGAGAAAGACAAACATCACATCATATCACTCATACATGGACTCTAAAAATGATACAAATGAACTTATTTACAAAATAGGAACAGACTCATAGACATATAAAAGAAACATAGTTACCAAAGGAGTTAGTGTGGGGGGAATAGAGGGAGGGATAAATTAGGAGCTTGGGATTAACATAAACACACTACTATATATAAAATAGATGATCAACAAGAACCTACTGTATAGTACATGGAACTCTACTCAATATTCTGTGATAATCTATATGGGAAAAGAATCTGAAAAACAATAGATATACGTATATGTATAACTGAATCACCTTGCTATACACCTGAAACGAACACAACATTGCAAATCAATCATACTCCAATATAAAATTAAACTTATGCTGCTGCTGCTGCTGCTAAGTCGCTTCAATCGTGTCTGACTCTGTGTGACCCCATAGACGGCAGCCCACCAGGCTCCCCCGTCCCTGGGATTCTCCAGGCAAGAACACTGGAGTGGGTTGCCATTTCCTTCTCCAATGCATGAAAGTGAAAAGTGAAAGTGAAGTCGCTCAGTCGTGTCCGACTCTTAGTGACCCCATGGACTGCAGCCTACCAGGCTCCTCCGTCCATGGGATTTTCCAGGCAAGAGTACTGGAGTGGGGTGCCATTGCCTTCTCCAAACATATAAACACTACTATATATAAAATAGGCAAATATCAAGGACCTACTATATTCAGAGACCTATATTCAATATCTTGCAATAACTTACAATAAAAATAATCTGAAAACTGTATATATGTATAACTGAATCACTTTGCTATACACCTGAAACTAATACATTATAAATGAATTATACCTCAATTTAAAAAATAGTAAATAAAAATAAAGACAAGGCATAAAACAAATAAACCTGGTGGAAGTTTCAGCTATTTTTCTTTCAATCTTTTAAAACTAAGACGTAACTGAAAAAATACTATGGAATAAAGTGAAGAAGGAACTGGAAAAACTTCAATTCAGAAAACTAAAACCATTCACAAAATTCTCTCTCTTGGTGAAATAGAATAGGGAGAGGGTGCTAGGCCTTTAAGAAAAGATAAGAAGGAAGGGTCCACAGGGAGAGAAAATTCAGCCTTTCTCTAAAGCTACCCAGATTTCTAAACAAAGTGGCGAAGCTATATATATATATATATATATATGTGTGTGTGTGTGTGTGTGTGTGTGTGTGTGTGTGTGTGTGTGTGTGTGTGTGTATATATATGTATGTATATATACAGGTAAGAAACTTTGCAACATTCAATTTCAAAACAGGCTATGTGACAAAATTTATTTTCTTAAGTCTATTTTTTGTCCATTTTGGTAATTCAGAAGGATATTTTCTATAGAAACAATGACATATGGATTCCTAGATTAAACTACTAAAGCCTGTTTACTTTTCATTGCATTATATTTTCCTCTGAAAAATAGCAAGAAGCACTACCAATGTAAATATATTCAATTCTGAATTTTTGAGGTTCTCCTACCCCAAATCTTGCTCATTCCTCTGATTATACCTCCCTCAGACAACTGGACCCATTACAGATGTGAAAATGGCTTCCACTAATGTCAACAGGTTTAAAATTCTTCTATATCACTTTAAATATGTATGAACATAAAATAATCTCATTTGCAAAAATTAAATAGTCTAAATTTTACTGAGAAGCAGAAAAATAATACTGACAAGAATTAATATAATCATACAATTTTAACTACTAGTGAATGTTTTCTCTTATCCTTTAACTTAAACTGTAGCAAAATAAATACTAATCATTCAAATATGAGAGAAACTGACCTCAAATAATAAAAAAGATATGGAATACTATCCACAGATGTATTTTCTGAGACAGGTGAATTGAAAGTAACTCCTATCTGGCAGTTGAAATGATTTCCATTTAACTATACCCCCAGTGAAATCTGAGCTGGGTTGTAGTAATTGGATCTGACAGAGGTTACAGCAAGGAGTTCAAAACTCCACCCATATTTTTATGAGTAATTCCAGTTTGAAATTACAAGGCACTAAAAATGAAACCTTAGAGAGTGTTGAAAATTAAAAGAAAATTAAAAACATGGACCTGGAAGGAAGTTAATATTGTCAATCACAGATGTTGATGACAGAATGAATGCAACAGTGGAAAATATTTTTCAATAGTTGGCCATTCTAGATAGGTCAGCTCATTGTCACTCAGTAAGCAGTAGCACTATGATAGACCACATAAAAGTGGGCTTAAAGAGAGTGCTCAGGTGCTCAGGTATTTTTAATCTCACCTTCCACTATGGGTGAAGGACGCCCTTTCCATCATGAAGTTTTATTCTTCAGTCAGGTCCGCCAATTTTTGTCCCTGGGTCAGAAAAATCAATGCCTTCCAAAATCCAAACTATTTCTTCCTCATAAAGGAAGATCAGATTTAAAAGATCCTTGTACTGGGACATGAAATGCCCACTAGAAAGGGATTACACTCTTAAAATTCCCTAAAAGGACCTCCACCTTGATATGTCAAGGATGCTATCAGTTGCACATATCAGGAATTACATTCCAGAAGAATGAATGGCACTCCAAAGAATAAGGCATCCCTTCTTAAAGGGAAGGTCTTTCTTACTGGGTACCCGGAAGTGGCCCTGGATCTTTGCACTGGTTATCAGAATCAGAATAATGATATAAAGCTCCATTATTCTGAAGGTCTTTTACTTGACAAAGCTATGCCCTCTAAAATAAATCCAAAGGAAGAAAGTATTTCTCTTACCTTGTCTTTTAGCTTTTCCATCCAGCTTCTCACTAAGGAAAATAAGAGAAGAAAATGTAAATAGCCATCTCTCTGCTTATATTTCATGTATTAAGTTCATTTGGTAACTTACTTATATTTCAGGTACTAAGTTAATTTGATACAATGAAGATTTTATTGTATGAAATACAGTGACAGGGTCAACAGTATTAACATAATGACAGTAATAGTTTTAATTCTCATTTAAAAATGCAAAAAAGAACACAAACATACACATCATTGTTAAAGGAATAGAGAATATTTTCCTTTGCTAAATGCATGTTCTATTATTTGGGGGGAGGTCTGGGGGATGAGTGAGGAAAACACCTTCAAAATATCAAGTTTATTTCTAACTGACATTTCCTCCTCATTTTTTTTGAATGAGAGAAGGTATTTACTGGCAAATGATATATCAGATAAGGGGTTAATATCCAACATACACAAAGAACTCATTAACTCAACATCAAAAGGACTAACAATCCCACCAAGAATCTGAATAGACATTTTTCCAAAGATATATTGACACATATGACCAAGACACATGAAAAGATGCTCAACATAAAAAAGCCCCCATTATTCGACATCAGGCGAATGCAACTGAAAATCACAATGAGACAACACCTCACATATGTCAGAATGGCCATTACAAAAAGATAAGAAATAACAAGTGTCGGTGAGGATATGGAGAAAACCCCTGTGCACTGCTGGTGGTACAAACTGGCTCAAGCACTATGGAAAATAGTATGGAGGTTCCTCAAAAGCAGAACTACAAAAAGATCTAGCAATTCCACTTTGGGTATTTTTCTCCAGAGAAAACAAAAACACTAATTAGAAAAGATGTATGCATTCCTATGTTCATTGCAGCACTACTTAACAATAGGCAACATATGGAAACCACCTGAATGTCCAGCAACAGATGAACAGATGAAGATGTGGTATATTATACACAGTGGAATATTAGCAATAAAAAGAAAAATCTCTTGTGATTTCAACATGATGGCATGAATGGTCCTAGAGGTTATTATGCTAAGTGAAAAAAGTCAGAAAGAAAAATAATGTATGATTTTAATTTACATGTGGAATCTAAAAAACAGCAAATGAAAAAAGGAAAACAATAGACACAGATACAGAGAAGAAATAGTGATTGCCCTAAGGGAGGGAGTGGTGGGTTGAATGCAACAGGTGGAAAGTAACAGGTATAGACTTCCAGTTACAATATGAATGAGTCATGAGAATGAAATGTACAACATGTGGGATACAGTCAGTAATATTGTAATATCTTTGTATCATGACAGATAACTAGACTTACCATAGTGAACATTTTGTAATGTATAGAAATACTGAATCACTATGTTATGCACCTGGAATTAACATAGTATTACAGGTCAATTATGCTTCAGTTTAAAAAAAAAAGATAGTTCTTTGAAAAGATCAATAGAACTGATAAGCCTCTAACCAAGCTAACTGAAAGAAGAGAAAATACAAATTTGTAAGATCCAAAATAAAAGTGGGACATTACTACAGATCCCATGGATATTAGGAGGATAATCAGGAAATACTACGAACAACCATATGTCCATATATTTGGTAACTTGGGTTAAATGGAGTAATTCCTTAAAAAATACACCTGCAAAAACTTACACAAGAAGAAAAAGACTGAATAGACCTGTATCTATTAAACAAACTGAATCAATAATTAAAAACCTTCCAGAACAGCAGCAGGCCCCAGATAGGTTCACTGGTGAATTAAAACATTTAAGGAAAATTTATGCCAATGCTGTATAATCTCTTCCAGAAGATAAGATGCAGAAGGGAACTCCCTAACTCTTTATATGAGGTCAGCATTATTCTAAAATCAAAACCAGATAGTCTTTAAAACTACAGACCAGTATCTCTCATGAACACAAATGCAAAAGTTTTCAACAAAATATTAGCAAATCAAAACCAAAAATGTATGCAAAGAATTTATTCCAGGTATGCAAGTTTGGCTTACCATTTGGAAATCCATTAATCTATTACATCAACAGGCTAATGAAGAAAAATCACATGATCATATCAATAGATACAGAAAAAGTATTTGACAAAATCCAGCACTCATTTTTTATAAGATTAGCAAACTAGGAATACAGGGGAACTCTCAACTTGGTAACATCTACAGCTAACATCATAACTTAATGGCGAGAAACTAGAAGCTTTTCCACTAAGCCAGGAACAAGGCCGATGTCCTCCCACCATTCCTTTTCAACATCATACCCGAAGATCATTAAGAAGGTTCAGAAATTCTTGGGAGGACGCAAGGGAGGCAGAATGTGACTATGAGGTCAGTTGGTGACCACATGGCTCCATCTGATGGCTTTGCAACTTGCTCCATGTTCCTATAACTGATTCTAGAGGCCGCCTTGAAAGGTCCTCCCCACAGCTGAGACAGCCGTTAGGGCCTCTCCTTATCTTTTATTCCTCACCTTTGTCAGTTTTTAAGCTCAATGGAAATTCTGCAGTTGAATCAATGTTAGAGAGCAGAGGTCGGACAGCACAATGGGCAGGCCAGGGCTGCGGAGCTCTTACTAAAAGTAGTCAATATTTTAGGATCTGCAGGCCACACAATCTCTGTCGCAACTACTCAACTCTACTGATGCCTCAAGCCACAGAAAACAGTACATAAATAAGTGGGTTTGGCTCTGTTCTAATCCACTTTATTTATGGACACTGACATTTGAATTTCACATAATCTTACATCACAAATATTTTTCTTTTGATTTTTTTCAACCAAATTAAAAATTGGAAAGCATTCTTTGCTGATGGGCTATATCAGGACAGGCAGCAGGCCTGATTTGACCCGGGGGTCACAGCTTTCTGACCCCTAGCACAGACACATTTTACCCAAGAAGCTAGTGTCTCCATTTACAATGTGACTTCAATAATAACATGTCCCACAACAGTAATGACAGCTAACGACCTTACTCCTTACAAAGCATGTTCAGATGCACTGCATCACTTGATAGGCAAACTAACGATAAATATGAGAGTCAGGTAAGATGATGCTCAGGGAAAAGGAGAAACTGAGACTCAGGAAAACTAAGAGACTTGCCATGGTTTGCTGGGGAGGAAAGAGCCACTGGAACTCCAACCCCCACCTGACTAACAACCTACAGGAATAAGACTTCCTATGTACCCATTTCTTTTGGCGGTATCACTGCTGTTCTGCTCTCCGGTTGAAGATGTGGAGATACCTTTGGCTCCTCTATCTCCTTCAGTCCCCAGCTTCAATCTCTCATGGCAGGACCTCGGGAAGGTCCTCCCCTCACCACTCCTTTTGAGGGAAGACTCAGCTGGGATTCAGACAAAGATGGTGGTGCTCAATCAGAATAATATTGGAGTCAAGGGAAGGAAGTGCAGGAAAATCAAGAACTAAGCCACAGATCATTGGAACTGACTCACTGGAAAAGACCCTGATGCTGGGAAAGATTGAAGGCAGGAGGAGAAGAGGCGACAGAGGATGAGATGGTTGGATGGCATCACCGACTTGATGGACATGAGTTTGAGCAAGCTCCAGGAGTTGGTGATGGACAGGGAAGCCTGGCATGCCTGGCAGTCCATGGGGTCACAAAGAGTCAGACACAACTGAGCAAGTGCACTGAACTGAAGCCACAGATCAGTGGTTCTGGGAGTGGTTCCATGGAGAAGTGAGGTCAACCACTGATTCACTAAGTAACTTTGGAGAAACAAGCAAACCTCTTAGACTCTCACTTTCCTCATATGTGAAATGGAGATGGTAATACTTGCAAGATGGTTGTGAAGATTAGAAATAACATGTACAAAATGTCTCATACAGAACTTAGGAGAGAGAACTAAAAAACCAAAATAAGAAATCTGGAGCAGGAGGGAAGAAAGAAAGACAAATGAGGTATGAGTTTTGTGTTAACATGGCTCAACTAAGCCCAAGACATAAAGTGAAATTCAAGCAAGAGGATGCTTCCAATTCATTCATTCATTCAGTAACACTTAAAATGCACAGTGCACTGGCCAAGCACTGTAGTCAACACTGTGTCAGTAGAAGGCACGGGAACCTAACTCCAGTGAAAATAGGTTAGAACATCAGATCTATGAGACGTGGATGAGAACAGCAAGGTAGGGACTGAGAGTGAGGGACAGAGCAGGAGAGCCAACTACTTCAGAATCAAGATGTTTGGAATCAGGGAATCAGCTGGATATTACATTAAAAAAAAAAACTAGCAAAGAGAAATGGGAGCAGAATGCTAGTGTGACAGACCCTCATGGAGGAGGTGAGCAGGGGCCGGCTGACTACCTGTGAATGGCAGCCCAGGGGTAGGTTAGAGAAGAGGGAAAAGAAGCAGAGATGGCTTCGGGGTCCAAGGCACTCACAGGCTTTCCAGCTGCAGGAAATTCACTGCCAAGAGAAATGTTTTAACTCAAGCTTTATCAAGCCAGGTCTCACTGGCAAACTGTTCAGATCTTAGGTTCTTAGAGTAAATTTCAGAGCCCTATTTTAAGTGATTCTTAACATAGGAATTCTTCACTAGGGGAGGGAAGTCACATCAGCATGGGATGTGCACATGTGCACAGATAATCTGAAAAAACACATTCAGTGAGTCTAGTTATGTGGTTTATAATAGGAACTACAGAAAGAAAATTGGGCAAATTCTTCTTGGGGAGTGAGTGATACACCAGAGACAGTGAGACAGTGTTTGAGGGGACATGGATCTAAACAAGGTTGAGAAAAACTACTCTTCAGAGTATGTGAACTTGGTTACGTTTCTCCAGCTGAGAAGGTGAACGACACCTAAGGATCACACCTTGTGTTTCTCAGGCATCCACCAGGGTCCCTGACATGGTATTGGTCAGTAAGTACTTTTTCCTTTTTCAGCAAATGTATATTGCTTTTAAATGAGTTCACAACTTTTGAGTAAACACGATTTTCTTTCATGGAGATGCTATAAACTGTTTTCAGCAAAATGTTTAAGGCACTGTAAAAATAAATCTAACACAATTATGG